GGTTCACCAGATGTAGTTTATTTTGTAAAGAGCACACAGGCTTTCCTGGTGTTTTGAAAATCACTCTGTCAACACATAACTGCAGATTTTTGCATGGTGGTGTTCATGAAAACTGAACTGGCAACTTAATCCCTTACAGCTGCCTACCTGAACAGAAAAGCTTCTGCAGTGTTGAGTGGTGTGCTCTGAGTATGCAGGTTTTCTGAAGCTCCTCATGGGAGTTTCACACGTGGGAGCAGGAAATTCCTGGATTTTTTGCAGAGGTTCCGCTGAAGTCTCTGAATGCTCAACACTTGATATTCTCTGTGCTGAAGCATTGCTGGTCGTGCAATGTCGCTGGTGGTGGTTGTCGCTCCGTCTCTTTTTCCGTTCTCTTCATTCATCCCTTGCTGAGTAGAGCAAGAAAATGTAACAATCATAATACCTAAATTCTGGGAAATACATGTCAGAATTAATAATTCCTTATTTTTGTGGGACAGTGAGTCTTTATAGAGTGTGTGATCTGGAGCATACAGCCCTTTTTTTTTCCCTAACATGGTAGCATGATCAAGCCTGAAGATTTCATCTGACCTCTTAGTAATGTTTTATTCTGAACTGTAAATGGTAAGCTTAATGTTTCGAAATTTCAGATTTTCCATCTTTTCATCTGTATTTACATAAGAGTTTGAGCCAGTATTTATATTTTTTGTTTCTTCTTGGTGGCTGTTGCAGGTAATGGCAAACATGTGCAGTGGCTACGTGGGAAGGATGGTGAGGTCTGGGTCTGGGTTATGGGAGAAGCCCCAGGTGACAAGCCGTATGAGCAGATATCGGAGGAGCTCATAGCAGAGCGAGCCAGGCAACAAGCACAGAAGGAGGCAGAAGAACTATGGTGAGGATTTAAGAGTCTGAATTCAGGGCCCACTTGGCATAATGGGAGACATGGCCTTGTAGAAAGGTGGCAGGTAATGGTGGGTAAAACTGGTAAGTATGTTTCGTGAACATTTGCTTTCACTTGTTTTGGCGATTTTTCAGCGTGTGAAAAACATAGTTTTATTTTTTTGAATACTGAAAAACAAAAACCTTCTTTCACAAAATAAGTGAAGCAAGCGTTTTTCTTTTGGGGATTTTTGCTACACCATCCAGTTCCAGACCAGTTTGTAAATAAATAAAAATGAGACAACTGGTTCTGAGATGATTGGATTAGGAATGATTATTGTATTACGTATCTATGCCCACAATGGGGATTTGGTACATAAAATCCTTTTTGAAATTGGTTTTATTTGCATATTGCTTGTATTAATTCTTATCCCAGCAGTTCAGAAACTGATTATACAAGTGCCATACTGGTGTTTCCAGCAGGGCCTCTTCCAGCTTTGGGAGAGATTCAGATGTGTTTTGATGCTTGGTGTTGTTGGGAAGTAGGCCACCTGCCTCCTCCACTTCCTTTTGTAGTGCAGAGCTGAAAAGTGACAGTTTAAATATCAGATTATTCTATATTATTCCTTTTCATATGAGATTCTTCTTATAGCGATTGCATAGTTAAGCAGGGATTAAAACCTCAACCTGTGCTCTGTGTTCCTTTTACGTTGTCAGTACTCATAAACAATCAAGTGTAAGAATTTGGCAGACATTTGCATTAATATTTGAGAGACAATAAAAGTCCCAATCATGCTTTGCTAGACTAACAGAAAAATCTATTTTTTCAGCCAGGGAAGGAAAAATCTAGGGTATGACTCAAAAACATCCAAGAAGTACTTCTCTAATTTAGAAGGTGCTATTTTAATTAGTCATTTTTCAGGAATTGAAAATGCTTGCTTTCTGAATTGTTTCTTCAAATCTGATTAGTGGTAGATCTCTTGGTAAATACATTTTAATTCTTTCCTTGTATATTTCCATAAAGTCTTATGCTAATTTGTTGCAAGCAGTGAGCAAGTATTGATCCTTAATTTAAAAAAAATAATTAGTGTCTTCAATTATTTTTATTTTCAAATGCTTTTCTGAAGGAAACAAAAGGAGGCTGAGATTACAAAGAAATTCCGGGATGCTATGGCTCAAGAAAAAGCCAGAATAGTGGCAGAAAAATGGAAAATAGAAATGGAAGATCGGAAAGCTGCCAAATTGGAGGAGGAAAAAATTCAGGAGGAACTGAAGGTTTGCATAGAAGAATTCAGCTTTTTAAATAGTGTTTTTAGATAGACCCAAAGTTCTTGTCACCTTCAGTGCATGTTTATTAATAAGCTTTAAAACCCAGAGTTGTAATTTTTCATCCTGGAATATGCAAATAGCTACATGGTGTTCACCAGAACAGCTGTGTGAGTGATGCGAAAAAATTACATATCTCATTCAAAAGCATCAGGACAATCAAACTGGTTATTCAGCTCACACATTAACGGAATTGTTCCGTCAGCTGTGCTGAGTGAATCATACTGGGGGGAAAAATGCACAATTGTAAAATGTCTCATTTTAAGTTAGTTTGCTTGAACATATTTTTTGTATTTTGGATGAGTTGTTCACATATTTAACTTGAAAATTCTGTCATTACTTTCTTTAAGATAACGAGAGGTGGATCCTTCTCCTACTCAACATATAGGATAAGTCCAGTTGGCTTTGCTGAGAGAACTTCATTTGCCTGATTTTTGACTTCATCATGAATTTTCTAGGAGCTCAGTTATAGTATCTGAATGTTTGTTTGAAATAATTTTTTTTCACATTCTCATGTTGAAAATCACGATTTGAAAACTAAACAGGAAAAGAAGGCCTCTGTCTACCCTACTCAGTACTTTATAAAGATGAAAACTTGTTTAAAAATGAGAAAATAAAATATAATTGGTTTAGTGTGCAGAGATATTAGCACAGTCTTCTGAACCTGGGATGTGCACGCTGGGACTGCACAAGATAGGTGTGGCTGGGTTTCCATGGAGAAAGCCTGTAGCAAAATATGACTCCTAGGAGATCTGCATCCAGTAACTTCCACCTCCACACCTCTCCCCTGCCAGCAGCTTGGTAGGTCGTTTTACCCTTCCTGGGAGGGTGATTAAAGGTGTGCAAAGTGCAGATGGACTTCCCCCTTGTCCCGCTGTGATGGGAGGAATGCTGGAAAACTCAGTGGTAAATTTGTGCAGTTTGATTACAAACTAGGGTCAGGAAGTCACTTGTTCTGTAGTGTGGGGGCCTGGGTTCTGAGGGGGGTTATGGAGCACAAAGCAAGGGCGGTTCCTGTAGCCTCCTCTGCACAGAGGTGCTGATTTACCTTCGCACAATTAATTTGAATTCATAGGAGAGAACGGGGCCTTTGAAATTTGATGTCAATGAGTAATGACGCTATACCTTTTAAGTGCGTTTATTAATGTATGTATAATCAGCAGAGCAGCTAATTAAACGCTTTTTCCTCTGCTTTCAGAAAGCAAAGTCCTCTTGAACAAAGACCCATACAGGCCTGTTCACTTATATCTCTATGGTTGATTTATAGTGCACTTTATGGGGTAAATGTCCACAAGCTCACTGTTAATCTTCTGTTTCAGAGACTTTTTCAAAAAGCAGGGTGACCAATTTGTGAGACTTTTAGTGGCCAGCAGTCATAATTTTCCGTTAAGGAAAACTAGTCTTTCGGTTATTGATACAATTTAAAAGGAATGGCACCAAATTCTGCTTATTTTCATACTGACGGAAAGGTAATGTCGCAGGGATCTGTGTTCCCACTGTTTCTTAAGAAGTGAGAAGGTATTCTCCATCCAGCCGTGTGCCTGGTAGGAGCAAGAATTGCACCGCTGTAAGCGGGATGAGGATTTGGTTCAGTTTCTACTTTGAATTTCAAATACTAACCTTTGGCCAGGATTTATTTAGCCCTATTCATAAAGTTGCCAACATCTTTATTTTATCAAAGAAACAGAAACCTTTCTTTCGTCTCTATGGTTTCCTTTAAATCAAGCATTTGAAAAGAGCATTTGCAAGAATTTAAATAAATGGACCAAAATTTTTAAGACAAGACCCAGCAGAAGTGAACTCTTTGGCTTCAAAAATGAGATTGGAAACAAGATATTATGCAGTGACACCTGTACTGAGTGTGCTCCCGGCATCTGCTGTATTAATACGACAACATAGTCTAATTACATTTCCAGCCCTGGATCTTCCGTTAGGTCTATAATTTGAGATTTGTTAGGAGGGACTTGGACAAACATAGGGTTCCACCAGCAGAGATCCAAGTGCGGGATTGATCCCTGGTCCTATAACACCACACCTTTGCTACTCAGAAAAGCAGCTTATTTGTTACTTGGTCTTGGAAGAGCAGCTCTTGTACATAGTGTTGTAGAACTACTTAAAAACACTAAAGGCATTTCAAAGACAAGTGAATCTCACAGGCTGGTATGGGGAAGTTCTTAACTTCTCTGTCTACTGGCATATTTGAGCTCACTTGGTTTTCCTTCTCCTTCCCATTTTACTCCTTTTATAACTGCTCTTGTGCGGTGGAAGAAGTACATGAAATATTTAAAAGGTAAATGAGTAGAAGGGTACCTAGACAGGAAAATAGGAAAGTTCTGTTTCTGGCATCTGCCTCCAACTACAAAAAGTGAATAGAACTGAGCTGTCGGGAAAAAGGTGGATTAATGAAATCTACTCATGTATGAATGCAGTTGTTGAATCCTGAAGAAGTGTACCTTTCATGAATGATTCAGGGTGTGGAATGGGATGCAGATTCATTAGCAAGCCCACTTTAACAGGTTTAAAATATTTAATGCATTGTTAATCATCCTTTTGCGATGACCAGGACGTGTTTAAAGTGGTCTCCAGACTAGGGTCTGAAAAGTTCAGTCTCTGCTAACGCTTCATCTTCTTGAAGCATTTTAGCTTGGGACATTGAAACTCTGTGCTTTCTGCGATGTGTTTAATTTCTAATCATATTGTATCACAAACACTCCTTTTTAAAATGCTTTTATTCCTCTTGACCTAACATGGGAGTTCAGGGCTGTCTGCACTAGATAAATGATATCTCACATATCAAAGTGAATGATGATCCCTGCTTCCTTTTCCAACACTATTAGAAAAGTATTGCTTTCCTTGGTGCTTGTTAAGCAGAAATGCCTTTAATTTATGATGCTAGAATATAAACGTTGACTGCTCTATTTTTGCAGTTTAAGGACTGCTATTCTTTTGCGCAGCTATTGCAAAGGGCAAATAAGAAAGCCAATTACTATCATTAATCTTTTTGCTAATTCACAAAGGCTATGAGATCATAGGCGTAATCTCCTGCTGTTATCAGTTGCTGTCACTAAGAGTCTTGAACAATGTGCAGAGCTAGGGCAAATTAAAGGTACGAGTATCAGCCAGCCAGGGGCAGGTGATATCCTTCAGCTACATTTAGAAATAACAGAGATGCTCTCTCAGCTTGCTCTTCACGTGGTCTACACAAAGCAAGAGAATATTAGTAGTAAAGTACTTTCTGTATGACAACATCAGATACCTGCTAAATTTAGTAATATAAGCACAGATGACAGTAAAGCTAGATTGCTTCTTAAAAATTCCTTGGGAGATGAAATGTGTGCTAGCCAAAAGCTGCTAACTGCAAACTTTTATGGATGTTGTTTTTCTTCATGTATCAAAAAATATTTTGTAGGAGTTTTAATGAGTGGTACTTCAGAAGAAAAAAATCTGTATTCTCTTGATAGGCAATGAGACAGTAACGGTGCATTATAATTTCTTTCCACAATTTTTTTTTTTTTTTGGGGTGCAAGTTCAAGACCTTTAATTCCGGTTGGGATTGTGGTGAGTGAAGTGAGCTGTTCTGAGGTGTAGATCCCAGAATTTCTGTCGGCCTGGCTGTTTCTGTTCTCGTCAAAGATGACAAGTTTAGAATCAACCATCAGAGATGAACAGAATAATTAGTGCTTCAGTTCAGGAAATCTCGAATAAGGACAGCTTATGCTTAATAGAAAGAACGCAGTTCAGTCCTGTTGACTTGGATGGGCTTTCATCACACGTCTGAGTGCTTTACTGTGCCCAAAAATGCTGTGGACCTGATCCTTCAGACACTTGCTGCCAGGTGTAAAGTTTAGGAGTACAGTAAAATGTCACCATCACCACTTACAGTACTGTGATATAGCAGTGAGCATTCTGTCTTGATCTGAAAAAACCCTCTTGTCTCCAACTAAACATCAAGCACTTGAGTGGGCCTGTTAACTTTCAGTGCAAATAAGCTGTAAGTTCAGCTCTGTGCTTTGCTGTGCCAAGAAAACACTGAATTCTTTCCCAAGGACAGCATATTTAGAATCCAAGAATATGACAACAGCTGCTTGCTGGGGTTTGGCACCCAGTTCATTCTGAAAATGCCTCAGTTGGGTCCATTCAATCACAATTTCAGTAATTCAGTAATACTTCATTTTGTTTTCTTCTGTGTGACCACAGTTCAGAAATTCTTTTTTTCTATGCAGTTGTCTCTTTAACAATGTTGGAAGCAAGGCAGCTGTTAGTTTCTGCTGGGAATCAAGTCTTCAGGGTTTTCTATCCTGCTTGTGAGGAACTGTGATATTAATTTTAAAGAAAAATCTTGTCCCAAGTGACATCGGTAATGATTGCACTGCTACATCGCTAGTAAAAACTAGCAAAGCTCTGCTGTTTTCCATGGGTAAATGGGAAAATCTGAGCCACTAACGAGGATAGCTTACGTGGCAGGAATTCAAGCTGTGGAGAGCCCCTAAGATCCAGCGACTCTTAGTAGATTGCCACTGGATCTATGGAAAGTTACCCAAGCAGAGTCTGCTTCAGCATGTGCAATAAATCACTGACCCCTCACAATCTCCTTAGCTTTGTTTTCTGTCTCATCTAAAAGACGGTCTTTGTGAACCAGAGTGTGTTGTTACCTCCCTGTATGAGCCATGTGCGAATAGCATGTCCTGGGGCATATCCGTGACTGAAACAGAATTTCTTCTACATAAAGCATGACTGCACTTTGTGCGTTTTTCTCTGTGCAAACACATGCACAGTGAAGTGATGCAAACCCTGCGTTCCTTGTGAGACACTGGTAGTAGAGAAGAAAATAATGTCTCTCCAAACACTCTTTTCTGAAGCGAGAGAATTTTCTCAGAAGAAGGTTGGGAAGGAGTTGGACACATTTCTCCTGATACCTGCTCACAGCTCTGTTGGAAACTGTCAGATGG